GTATATATGATATAGGTGCACGGAGAAAAGAGCGAGCGGCCGGTGACTATAGAGCAACAGCAGCACCGGCAGCAGCCGGTCGGACGAACAGAACGGCGGCGGCGGCGGCGGCGGCGATGTCGGCTCACATCAAAGGAAATTTAGATCTCCCGCTAACCCCGCGGACGCGGAGGCTAATAGAGGACCCCCCGGACCCCACGACACGCCCCCGCCCGGTGAACGCACGCTGTCCGTCGTCTCATTACGCGTACGCGCGCGCGCGCGCACACACACACACGCCCGTGCAATACACAACTGACACACGAAAACCCGAGGAAAACGCATCAGACACCGCCGACCGACGACGACGTGTACACGAATAAAAACAATATTATTATTATACGTTTATACGCGTGTTCGTGGTGTACACAACAATGATATGTATAGCTAGAGCAGCGTCTGTATAAAATCGATCAAATTTCAGGTAGGCAGGTAATATTATTGTACGGACGACTGCAGAATATCGAGCGATTAATCGTGCAAAGCAGATATTATCATAGTATAATGTAATCGTGTTATGGTCACAGACTTGTCAGCCCTTACAATATAAACGCGACACATTTAACGCGTGCAATATCACATCATTATTCAGGCCTTGACGTGACCGATGTACCTACACCTAAGTATGTATGTACGCTGCAAAAAGACCATATACCTACTGCAGGTACCAATAACGCGTATCATACTCTGCAGTAGGTAGGTATACATCCGCAAGTCTATATTTTGCAACTTTATACCGTCAGACTATACGTATAATTATATAATGTTTACTGCTCGAGAACTGGTTTCAATCCTTTGATAGGGAATTTCGGATGTAAATTGTTCATTATGCATCTCGATTCTCGGCTGTCTAGTATATACTAATGTAATAAAGGACTGCATTTGAATGACAGCGAAATTAGTTTTTGGCCATAACAATTAACGATGTAGAAACGATTACTTTTTTACTGTTTGATCATGCGTCATGCGTGTCACGACAAAATTTATAAATCACATTTTGACACCGGGCTCTCCATTTTATTAATCGTTTTTTCAGTTCGGTTTTTGTACTTATACTATTTTATGTTACTGCATCTTGGCATTGGACTATTCGCGCGATGGTTCATAAGACGTGCAGATCGAGTTTCCAGTAGTCGGGAGTCCTCGGATACTACGAATATACGGTTTTGAAACAAATATTCGATTACATTACATTGTTTTAAAATTACGTTATGAAACGCATACTCGTGTTTACAGGGTGTTTAAAAACTACTGGAATTCGTATACGTATAATACTTTGGATAACACATTTTCTAACTTTTAGAACACATTGTACAGTAATAAATAATAATATAAATACATAAAATACACGACGTGTACGCATGGTGAGGTTTTGATTAGGCACAAGCTTCGTAATTCATATACCTTATACGTGTATAAGTACACGACGTACGGGCGCAATAATTTAGCAATTCACAATCAAACATCGAGTACCTCTATACCTACTAATATACAATTGTGGTTAGAAATCGTAGGTCGTCGAAGTTCGCATCCAACTCGAGACGATAACGAATAATGTGACGACGACTGAAGAGTCCATTGAGACTAGGTATGTAATAATATAATCATTATCATGTACATACTTGGCTAGTCGTAACAACAATATTATATTATATACATCGATCTACGTTAAAGCGTTTTTCTGTGTCTCGGTAACTTATTGTAATAACTAATAAGTATTACTCTGTTGGGCGGACGGTTGCGCGCGTAAATATAGTTTTTCGACTTTCTACAGCGGTTGCCGGATTATAATAATATTATTAATAATAATAATAATAATAATAATAATAGTATTAGTAATAATGATAATAATAATAATAACAATAATAATAATAATAATAACAACAATAATAAGTAGTAAAAAGGAAGAAGAGCGGCGGCGTTTGTGTGGCGTTGGCGCGTCGGATATATCTGTTATCTTATATATGCGTGTATGTGTATGTGTGTGTGTGTCGGTGGCGGCGCTTTTGATCCCGAGCGCGTTGCCTCTGGCCCGAAAACCGGTTGACAGCGTGTGTGTGTGTGTGTGTGTGTTGTGTTAGCGGGGCCGGTTGGATACTTATATATATATATATATTATAAATAATATGTGTATTATACGACGGACGCGTATCTCCTCGGCCCCGGACATAATTTGTACCGTGACGCGCGGCCCGGCGGCGGCGGTTCACCGTAAAGATCTTTATATATAATATATGTATATATAGATCTTTATAATATATATTATATAGATCTTAACTTATAAATATATAATACACGCGCGCGCGTGTGTGTGTGAGTGTGTGTTATTATAATAATAATAATGTGTATAATACGAGCGTGCGGTGCTGCTGGCGGGCGCGACAAGCGGATTGTCGTCAAGAGTGCCGCGCGCGCGCAGTGCCCTACGCGCACGATGTATTTCATGTTATACAGTCGCTTTAACCGTCATCATCCGTGTCTCGTATATTATTATTATTATTATTACACCGAACCTCTCGCGGCGCGTGTTAATTTTCGGTGAAAATGGGCCGAGCACGGATTTTTGGAGGGAAACGAATGCGCTTTTAGATTCCGCGACGTTTTGCGATGAACGAAAAAAAACAGCATACGAGCTGCAGGCGATAAGCACGTGAGAAGAGGTGAAGGGGAGAGAGAGCGAGTGCGCGCCGCACGCACTTCCGCCGGCCGCCCGGAACCGGCGGCGCCCCGTCGTGGAGACGACGCCGCTGCCGACTCTTTGATATGACGCTTCCATCCTTCGGTCCCCTCCCCCATCCCCCCGGCGTAATACCGTTCCGTCACGACGTCCGCGGGATCTCTTTGAGACGCGCCAACGTTATTTTTAAAAAACACAACCACTCTACATACCTAATAATAATAAAATATAATATAGTACGAGTATTATACGCGTATACGTCGTCCCGATTTACCAGCTACGTACTATAATATTGTACGACATACGCGATAAATAATCTACCAAGTTATTGAAGACGATATGGTTGTAATAATAATAAAATCATAAGTATATTATAGGCATTGTATGTATAATATATATTAAGTAAAAGTATGCCATATTGGCGGCGCCGACTTCCCTCCTCGTCTAAAAATGATTTACCTGTATATTCTGATATATTTATAGTTAGAAAAAAATACCATTTCTCATAGGTACTATATTATAAAATATTAAAAACACTAGTATTATATTCATATCGCTGAGATCGAAATAATTAATGTTCGATATGATTCCTATAGACGTAATGCCTATTACATAAAGTACATATATTTTTGTATAACCACGCTAGTGCATTTAATAGGTATTCAATATTTAAAACAAAATGCATACTGATTTAAAAATAATAATTAATAAACACGATAGGAAAATAATGTTAAAAGACTAAATAGTTGTATTACTATTGGCCAATTACAGGTAACTATTATGAGAAAGATTATAAACATTTTTTTAAAAGGATTTTCTCACGATTGTTTAGTTTTTTTCACTAACATATTATAACTTTATTATTCTATATTATACGTAATATGTATACATTAATGTGCTTGCACTTTTATTATTATTCTAATGTAAACAAATATTATTATATCGGAACTTATAAATCACCCTAACGAAAATTGGAAGTAAATTACAAATGTTATCTTCTGTATTAATGTATCATCTGACAATAATATTTGATATAAATAATTTATATACGACCAATAACATTGGTTTTTTTCAATTTTAATTAGTCAATAGGTAAAGAATACTATGAAAAATAAGGATTAAAACCTATATCAAACGATTTCGATTTTTCCGTTAAGTTAAGAAAAAACATATAAAAACATTTTACATGCCAGAGTATGTCTAATGTACAGAAATATAAGTATTTCTGTGTCTTACATTATACCCAAAGATTATCCAATGACCAAAAATTACTCTTACAAATTAAGTTGTCAAAAAACATACACATACAATTACTTAATTGATACTAGACATACATATATTTTTCTTCATACCCAAAATATTAAAAATAATAAAAAATCATAATAGAAACAACAACAATATTTTAAATAAAATATCAGTAGTCAATCTGTATGATATATATGTATTGCACTAGTTCAGAAAAATCATGTATAATACATACCTACAAATAATATAATATAGTATGAGCGTAAAAAAATTAAGTTGTCATTTTAAAAACATTCTAATTTAAACAGAAGTATATTTTTATTATTGTAAAATATTTTTGTACAATGCAAGTATAAAAAAATGGTATAAATACAATTTTGTACAAGTTGTTAGCCGATAATTCTGACATTTTATGTCATCGCGTGTATAACATAAAATAATAATATATTTACAGATAAAATTAACAGTAAAAAGCATAATTATTATGATAGATAGTAATTTTATTGTTAACGTTTTAACAATATATAAAGAATAAGCATATTATGGTACGATTGTCGGCTATTTTTTCTCGAAATTTCTCGAAACAAATTTGTAATTTCAGAACATATTATCATAATTAATGTTTTTCAAACCACCGTTATAATATTCTGTAATAATACAATTAAGTATAAACAATGTCGAAAGAATATATAATAGCTGTACGTATTTATTATTTAGAACTATCATTATCGTTCCTAAAAAATGAATACAGACAAAAGTTATAATTGAGGAAAAAATATTAGGACCTAATATTCATGGATTACTTATATTATGTCATACAATTCCTATACCTATCTAAGGTTGGAAAATTATCCTCTAGAAATTAAAACCGAATTGAATTCACAGCGTTTTCTAAAAATCTAAAGTCTCAACTTATTGAGCTAATCAATCTCGCGGAAACGTACCTATTATTTTATGTACTATATGTATTCATATTATTTCACAATAGGGTAAGTTTATAATAAAATATATAATATTTCTCATCAGACGAACTGCTTACTTGCGTGATATCCATGTGTGAGCGATGGTTCTCATTTAAGCATCCGGAAAACAGGCACGTGCTCGTGGCGTGTCGCAACGGTCAGGTGTAGTTGAAAATCGGAATATCTTCGGGATGGAATAAAACCAAAAAAAAAAAACAAAAAACGGCGCACTTTTGCTATCGTATAAAATTATTTTAAATCAAAGTTGACAACTGTATACGCGTTGCAGATCGCCGAATATAAATGTGAAAAAAAAAAATAATGCAAGTAATAATTATAATAATAATAATAATAATATTATTATTAAATAAGCGTTCGGTCGTAAAGAATAGTATAAAGAGTCACGGTCGGTGTGTTCAAAATTGATATATTAATAATAATGTAATAAGACGGATAGGTCGTGAACGCCAGCGGACCACTGGAACACGCGGACGTCTGGTTCGAACTGGTATACCGCGCGCGAGTGGTCATATGGGCGCGCGGAGTCTGTACACGAGACCTACCCCCTCCCCACCACAATCGACGTCGTGTTGCGGCGGCGGCGTCGGCGGCAAATCCCTCTACATACATGTCATATATTATATACATATTATTAAAGTGATTTTGTACTTGTAGGCAGGTATGTATGTAATAATAATATATAGGTATAAAATATATTTATTCACACACACACACACACACACACACACACACACACACACACACACACACACACACACACACGCACATACAACAATAGACCTAACGTTGCGGACCGATCGCATTCATCGTCGTAAATCTAAAAACAGATCTTGGGGGACGTTAGAATAGGTGTATGATATTTGCAAGTGACTGAATTTTTAGATTTAATTAATACTTTTATTTCAAAAAATTCACTTTTAAAAAATCTGACATGTAGCTGAGCTCCGTGTGAAGCAATTTACTCTAAAATCGTTGGACAACTTCAAATCTATAATACTGGATATTTTTTTGTTGGTAACCTGCAAACAATACACAGAAACGCTTTTCAATTATGTTCATTAACGAATTTTCCAAGTGAATTTTAATAACTTTTGAAATTGAAAATTTCGCGAGCCATCTAATTTAAGATAAGTTAAAGTTTCTAAGTTTTAAACTAAATTAAATTAACTTTAAATCATTTCAATTGCGTTGTTGTAATAAAAACATGTTATTTGCTCCATCGTATAGCATCTTATCTACACATTGGGGTAAAGACAAAGAAACAGACATTTGATTCCTAACAAATTTTTCTATTCCCTAAACATACTTTTTTTCTAATTACACAAAATACCACACAAGTGTTTATTTAAATAAAAAAATGAATATTATTAGAATTTCTAAAATAACAAAATATTGTAATAAAATAGTGTAGACATTTTCATTAGATATCTCATCAGGAGAGGAAATAGAAAACATCGATATTATGCCATATCAACTAATGTCACTAATATTAAATTACTAATTTCTTATTAAAAATAATTTTTCTTACCACGATAAAAACGTATTCTAAAAATGCATTTAGTAAAGATAACAATTTTAATCACTGACTACACAACGGAGGAATCGAGTTGTTCTATTTTACCCCATGCACCATGTTTGCATGTATAATTAAAATTCAAGAAAACAAAAAATATCGTTATTAAATTTTAACATTTTTTTAATTTAAACTTTTCATGCTTTTCTTCCAGTAAATTATATAGACGTACTATGCTGGTCTACCTCAGCTTTATGGTAAATAACTGTCCTTTCGGATTTTTCTCTCTGTTTGATAAATTTATCTGTGCAGTATGTTATTGGAACAATATTTACAAACCATTTTCTATTAATTTGTTTTGTATATGTTTAAATATTTGGTATACCGGTGAAAAATTATTAATACATTATATCATTATTATACATTATAATATCGGTCACGACTAATTATTATGTCCCAAATGGCCAAATGTATACAATTTTATATGAAGTTGTGAGTTGGGACGAGTGCAAACATTTTCTTAAGAAAATAAAAAAATTGTAGATAATTTAACAATAATGGCCGATGTATCGGTACTGCGCATGCCGCATATTATATAAGGACGAAGACTATAGTGAAATCAAATTATCTGGTGGGACGAATTAAATACACAAGGAATAAATTATTTAATTAAGTAGATGTAAGTACGCAATAAGTTATTAATAATGTGAATAATAACATATTATTAGTTATCGAGCATTTTAATATGATGTTAACGAGTAGGTTTCAAATCATTATAACCTCCTGATATACAAGTGGTCAGATTCGATTTATCACTGTAAACAATCCAAATACGCTATTTGATTTACAAACAACAGTATTTATGATCATTTAAAAGTAGGCACGATATACGCAATTACACGATTGTTCGATTTCAAGTGCATTAAAACACATAAATTCAGATATATATAGTATATGAAATAAATATTGCCTATTGATTTTAGCACAAGACATTTACAATGCAGTTTAAAGAGTGCCACTTCAATAATTTTTTTTTGTTTACTTTCGAAACGTTGGTTTTCGTTAAAAGGGTTCGTGCTTTTAAAATGATTGCATTGTTCGTTTTAAATTATATTTGTTTATGACAACGGAACCCTAGTCCTAAATAAGCACTTTGGTCGCATTAATTTATACACTGAATACCAAATATTTTTGTTTGGACTTAAATACAGACGATCTAAACCGTACTTACGATACATATTTTATATATTTATAATAAATACATAAGAATGGAATAAAATACCTATCTATTCTGTATTTGCTCTTTATGTGGGTCTATAGGTATATTATTTAAGTTAACTACTCTGTGCAAACTTGGTATATATACACTCTGTTGTTCCCAGATTAAAATACTGGCCGCACCCACTCACCCTTTCACTCAGTATCCAAGTTTTTCACTACAGTGACACGTTGCATTCTGTGCAATTTGAAATACCGTAGGTCATTTGTTGATTTATGACTGCCGGTTGTCGAGGGATTGATTTGTTCTTACAAATAATAGTTTTAAAATATTTGAATATACTGACTATTTAGTTTATCTGTGAATACCTATGAATAAAGTTGTTAAAATGTGCATAGGTACCTACATTTTTCGAAAATTATATGATTTTATGATTGTTGTATTTTATTGGATTTTAAAACTAAAAAACCAATATTTTTATGACCCAATTTAAACATTTTACCAATCATATTTAATACATAACTACTTTTTTTTGACAAATTCAATTAGCTCAAACAATATACCGTTGTTTAAGCAGAAAATAAACTCAAACCTAAACGAATCCATATAGACCAGACATCTCGAATTACATCATCATCTCCTTTCTCAAAGAGGCCGGACTGTTTAAGCAAATTTAACAATTAATATTCTTCCAATGTAAATATATTTAAAAAAAAATGCATTCATCGCTCCGCTCAGAATCTAAAATGAAATGAAATATGCTTTGAATATTGTAGGCGTTGTATAAAAATGTCAAAAAATGAGCCTTAGCTGCCGGAGTTTAATTAGAGCATTAACAAAAAAAAAACAAAAAAAAAAAACAATATGCTTATGATGTTATATTGTTATTGGAAAAATATTTATTCTGTTATAAAGTGTATTTCGATTAAAACGGTACAATTAAATTATCTAATACAGTGCTATACAACAATACAGAGAATTGATTATGAAATGATTTTGAATCAACGGTCGTTATGTCGTTATAATAGCAACCACAGATATTATGCTTAACACGCAAACTTAATAAAAATTGTTTTTATGTTTTCATAGGATCTAACTTAGAAACTAGTTTTTAATGATACACATTTAAATTATTATGATATTAATTCATTACATCGAGTATCATTTACGGCAGTGACGGCCAACAGCGATAAATAATAATAATATATTCTATATAATATGTATTGCTTTATTTTATTGATGCATTGCAGCATCGGCGACGGCCATCTAATATAATATAACAGCAAGATATTTCTCCCATTCGTCAACTGCAGCAGGAAACTGCATGTTTGAGAGATTAAACTTCTAAGCTTATTTATCTCCTAGAGTTCTATACAAAAGACTGACAAAACTTAGCACTTTATTGTATATATAAAAATGTATATACAATAATAATATATACGCCTGTGGTACGTGATGACTGATGGTAGATTAAATTTTGCTCGCTCGAGTTAGATAATACAAAAACATGATGAATGCGTGACAGTTTTTAGTGCATAACGGGAAAAAGTATATAATATATAGAAATCGGGGCCTATATAAATTTCACAGAAATAATAATATTTCGAGATTATGGTTTGAGTCGGTATATGAAATAAAAATAGCTCACCGCTATATGTATAGCATAAAAGGCTTGCCGCGTACACTATATATATGATATATAGGCATATGGTTGTCAGTGAAATGCATTATATTTTGTTGCAGGGTTTTTATCAAAGACTGGACACAAAAACCGGAGCGGCCTGATTTTCAGATGAAAAAAAAATAGGACGACCACATTTTAAAGGGGGTGGCCCTGTGTACGCCATCACTGCAGGATATATAATAATATATTATGATATAGCCTCTGCGGTGTATCCCATTGGGCATTTATAAGTAGGTATAATACAGCAAGCGAGAGCGACTTCATACGATGTATTCTATATAATGATAGTGTTGACAATAAAAAGAAAAAAGGACATCCTTTTGGAATCTGAACGGAGCCACAATGATGTATTGGTTTTACAATCATGTGTGTGATTTTCATTTTTATATTATAATAGGAAAAATGCTCCGAACTTCAATATTGAAAGAGATTTCTAGTAGAAAATTAAGTCTTATTGCATATTGGTACTATGGAGAGCTAAAAGTAGAAATTTCCTAGAGCTTTTCAAAATATTCCGGAAAAGCTTTCAATTTACTCTGAAAAACCAGTTTCCAAATAATTAATCGATTTTGATTTTTTTTTTGTAATTAAAAATTTTAATAACTGTAGGGACTTGAAATTTTCACCAAATATTCAAATTAGCATTTACTAAACTACGAAATAATTTTCAAAATATTTTGGTGCTTTTGCTTTATTTATTAAATTTTTGAAATGTTAAGTTTTTAGTTGACTTATTTGGTAGATAACTGATAAGCTTGAAAATTTAATACAAGGTTCCTCATAGTTTGTCTTACAAGGTACAATAGGTAATTGAAATTTATAGAAAATATATTATCACAATTCTTATTCATTTGTATTTAAATGTTGACAAAATTCGTTAAAATTTTGATTTATTCTGTATAGGAATGATAAGATTGATTAAATCTAATCGTCTCCCCTCAGAATTGATTTATCATTTAATTCAAATTTAACACATCCATAACAGTGACGTACTCAAGGTCTCAAGTTCTCGACCTATAGCAGAGTGACTCGTTTTTTTTTTTTTTAATATTATAATAGTATGCCGTTCAGTATTTATTGT